CATATCGCATGACCACTCATTTTGAGGGAAGTTTTAGTGTCTCCTACATGTCTGTACAATGAGGGCATTGTTGATTTTAAGTGTGGGGGAGTGATTACTTTGTCTTATGGGTGGTTGTGTTTTGAAATGTATAATTGCAGTTGTGTATAGTTAAAAATGTTGGAATTTGTCTCTGAAATGTTGTCATGAGATTAATTTCCTTGAAATTGAGGTTGTTGGTCGGGAGTTTTCATCCATTGTTATTTAGATTAGTCTGTCAAAATTTGATCTTCCAGGCAAAAGTTTTCCAATATTTCAAATTAATGGCCAAAATGTTCCATGCTTAAGTGTCTATTTCTTCCATTGGATAAAATGTTATATGTTTTTTGGGAAGGTTTAGTCCTCATTTTGCTTGGAATGAACCATGATGCAATTAGGATTTTTAGTTTTTAGGAAGTATATTTGGTTAAATAAGAAAAATTACCTCGAACTTGGAAATTTGCATGATTAATGATATTTGTCATTTTCACTTAATTTCGTTAGTAAGTGCTTGATATAGTCACGATAAGGCGAGATTGCAACAAAATTATGCTTAAATGACAAAAGAAATTGATGCCTAAATTAAAGAATAATATTATTAATTTTATGCTCCAATGAATCATGTACTGGGTAACAAGGGGGCTGCCATTTACAAATGTCGACATTCGCTTATTTAAGGGTTTAAAACGAATTCAAATTAGTGGATTAATGCGTTAATTTACTTAACACTCTGAAGGTTATTGAAGTATCAAATTCATGCACGAACTGAAAGAAATGTAAGGGCTAATTAAGAGGATAAACTGCACAACAGATTGAGAGCAAAATTGTACAAATATAGGAAAGCCGTAAAAAATAAAGCGTGGGAGTTGCTGCACACGGATCCGAGGCGCGGATCCGTGTTAACAAGACTGATCCGAGGCCTCGGCTGTACTTCTGGAGAAAGGGATCCGAGGTCATCGTAAATCCGAGCTCGGATCTACGATGGAAAGTCCACGGATCATTAGGATCCGAGCACAGATCCGTATTAACAAGCTTGATCCGAGGCCTCGGCTGTACTTCTGCAGTGAGTGATTTTGAGGAGTTTAGGATCCGACCTCGGATCTAGAATGGAAAGTCCACGGATAATATAGATCCGAGCTGGTATCCATTATCACTTCACAGATCCGAGGCGCGGATCTGTCTCTTTCCTCAGGTCAACAGCCAGAGCCGTTTTGCTACATTTTCTCACAGGTTTTACAGCTATTTTGCAGAGTTTCACCTTCAATTGTCTAAATTCGCTTTTACCTTTGTTCACCTTCCTTTCAAGTAAACTGCACAACAGATTGTGACTTCCGTAAGATCATAAGAAGAGATACAAAATAAAACATTCTTTTCGTGCCCTTGTATTTTAAATAATAATGTGAAGTATTATTTACACTCGCTTTTTTTTTTAGATTGAGTACCTCGCATGTGTAGGAATGATTTTTTAACAGATGATTATGGAGTGATTATTTCTAAATTAGAAATGAGAAAAGATGAGATCAAGCTAGACAATGGATATTGCACCGACTCAGATGTTTGACAAAAAATGTATTTTGATTAATATAAAATTTAAAAAAAAAATTTGACAAAGTCTCCCCTTAAAAGTGGACAAAACTCCCTGCCAGCAAACCCAAAATGCACAACATTTAATACAACCAATATTTCCAGCAACGTGTCCAAATATTTTAAAAAATAAAACTACTATTCGCCAAAGTAAAGAATATAAACAAAAGGAGAAGCAAACAACAACTACAGAATTCAAGTGCTGAATATCAATGATGTCCAAGTCTTCCATGAGTGCCACATCCTCTGGGTTTGCGCACTCTCTGTGTTCGACGTGGCTGGACTGGGATCGCAACATCGACTTGAGTAATCTGTGACTCAAGTCTAGCATCAATAGCTTGGAAACTTGGGCCTTCATCTGTACCTCTTACATGTTGTTCACCACTTGCAAGATGTAAGTCTGTAAGGGGCGTAAACTCCGCCATAGCCACTGGCGACCTAGGACGGCCAATGGACCTAGGGATGCCCTGATGCTCGGTAGCCTGTGACCCTCCATCACATCCAGTTTGGACGGTGGGTTCTGGTGACCGGAGTCTACGGCGGCGTCCACCACCATGCTGACCTCCGTGAACATTCCTAGGAGCTCTTTCAACGCGACGGGGGTCTGCTGGTTGTGGAATTTGCTGGGGTACTCGTGGAGGGCGAAATGCAAGTCGGGATGACTCCCCTACAGTTTCCAATGTCATGGATGCAAAGTCCTTCATTGCATTAAAATAATTCGTGTGCTGTTCGTCACTCTGTGCGAGACAGGTCTCAGCCATGTAATATACTTGAGACATAACATCCATCTGGAGATATAATGCTGGGATGAGTCGGCTAGAATAGAGTTAAATCTTAACAACTTGGGGTTTGTTTGAAGGATCTCTTTCAGTAATTGTAAGGAAAACTTACTAGATATTGTGCTCTAGCGCTATCACCCTGAAAGCCCTCCGGATAAACGGGATGCCTAGTAGGATTTGAAATATATAGCACTGTCCGCTCGCGATACCATTGACGATACTCATCGGACGGATAGGTAGGATCTTCAGTTACAGCACCGTCCTCCACATGCATAGGCCGATCAGTCCACACATCAATATATGCTGCATGTCTAGTTATCCAGTCTTGATTCCCCTTGCCACGACAATCAAGAGAATGCAGTGCCTGTTGATTATCGGTCAATCTTAGATCAGGCACGGGCTGATGATATCCGAACTGTCTCATAACTCGATTCGGAAGATGTGGCTCGACAACTTCTCGACATATGAGATACGTGACAGATCTCCAAATGCCGCGTCCTGCAGTACAATATGCAGGCAGAGATGCGAGAATATCGTCCGAGTACGGCTGCCATATAAACTGCAAAGCCAATACTTATTCCATTTCGCCATACATACAATACATATCAATAGTTATTCTCGTTTGTACATCTAAAATTTAAAAAATCTTCCCAGCACCTCCCCTATAACCGGATGAAAACTCCCTGCCAATCCAACCATTTTGACGATACTCAAGCATAATCTTTTTGCCATACAACCAACATATATATATAAATTTTAAACATCTTACTGAAATATAACGGCAAAAACCAATCATAATGACATCAAAAGACAATTAGTGTACCTCTCGGGCACGTAAGCCTGTCAACTGATCTCGGAATACAGATACAACATGTCTTGGCACTCTGTGTACATCAAATTGAACATTTCACCTGAGGGAACGAATTGGCCCAGAACAATATGTGTTAAAGGAGATAGTTGATTCGTATTAGTATTACAGAAATATATTTGATATATACATACCGAGCTCCATATGGACCAGGATAGTGCTCTAACGGCTTCACACGATCAGGGCGCATTGTTGGTATACGTTCCCACGCCCATAGCTGTAATTTATAATATTTGAATGTATTAATTGATCGTATAATCATCACCTAGTTAAAATTTAACACGTTGAATCTGGAGGAAATGTACCTGAAGCAAAACTAATGGTCCCGCAATTGCCGATCTAGAGGGAAATGTGGCGCTACACAATGATCGATACAGAGTTGCTAATATCGCGCTTCCCCAACTATATTGCCCAACAGTTTTCAAATCTCGTATTAATGGCATATACAATAGGGGGACTTTGTTACCGGACTTATCTGCTAATAAATGACCGCCTAATAGCAGGAGCAGGTATACACGGGCCCGCTGTCTACATTGGACATCCGAAGCATCAGGTGTCAACTCTGTATCTAATACTCTATCTAAACATCCTAATTTTAGCCGCTGTCCGTCAAAATCTGACATCGCTGGATAAAATCCAATCAACTCCTCACGTAAATTCCTCCACTCCTCAACACTATGAGGAGTATCAATCCCTATAACTGGAGGACCGCCTATGGGTAGACCCCACAGAACCTCCACATCCTGCAAGGTTACCGTAGTCTCTCCAACGGGGAGATGAAATGTATGCGTCTCGGGCCGCCACCGCTCCACCAAACTAGTGATCAAAGCATGATCGAGCATCATATATCCACAGTCAAGCACCCATTCAAAGCCAGCCAGTCGAATATACTGTCGAACGGTCTCAGGGATAGGTGTATGCTCCCAAAAGTGCCTATCACATCGCCTGACATCAAGCTGCTCACCTACAATGTGCCCGTGAAATATAGAATGTGCCCGGTGTGCAGTGCCTGCTGAGATAATATCATACACGAATGGCCCCGGATGCAAGGCTGCATGTGTAGGAATGTCGGCCATACAAAAAATAATAGCTACAAATGCATTATGTAACATATAAGGCTACTACACATTTAATTAGTAGATTGGTAGTTGCTAAAACTAATGCAACACTTTAAATATAGGGATGCTAAAAATAACACTGAAATATTACGAGCCAAAGTACTGATAAACAGAATATCGTGTCATAAATCATATTAATTCCATAATCCAACAAAATGACATAGCAAACGTTTAGTACACTGGTTCCTATCCCTAAAACGGATGATGTCAAACTCTAAAATTAGGACAATTTCTTCTATTGTGGCCCGACTGTTGGCAATTTGTACACCTTCTTGGTTCCTCCGGATCTCTCTCGTCCATCTCATTCCGAATTCTTCTAGCTCGTACCCTCCTCGCCCGACGGGCAACATATTTACTGCGATCTGCCTGTAACTCCCAACCCGGTTGGAGCCAAGTATCCGGATGTGGCAAAGGGTTAAACTTTCCTGAATACTGAACTGTCCATCGCCTTTTTGTAAACTGCGGATCTACCAGCGCCCCCGGATTATCCCGGCGATGCCTGCACACGGCTAACACGTGGGAACAGGGAAGTCGGTAGCACTGCCACTTACCACAAGAGCAAGATTTTTCCAAATACTTGACCGTTTGTATATTGCCCCCTTTACCGTCCACACGGCGGCCTGTCACCACTTTTTACACCCCGGAAGAGCCATCGAACTCAACAACCCCGTGGCTTCCCGCTTTCTGATCCGAATTCTTAAACTTTCGCCAAATCTTTGGAGGAAATGGATTACGGCAATGTCTGGCGTCCTCCCTTCTTGTTCTGAACAACTCTACTGTCCGATGAAAAGTCATATCAATACAAGCCCGGATAGGCAAGTGACGTGCTTCTCTAAGTACATTATTGTAACTTTCGGACATGTTAGTTGTGAGAATACCCCAACGATGGCCACCGTCATGAGTTAGACACCACTTCTCGATTTCAATGTTAGACAAATAGGTCCATGCATCTGGAAACGTGCTCCTTAATTCTCGTTTGAATGCCCTCCACTTGCGCAACTGTCTGGCCCTTCCCATTGCCCAACACAACTTTCTAAGGTTCAAACATTTGAAGTGAGTTATTAGGTTACTCCTAACGTGTCGTAGGCAAAACCTATGAAAGGCCAAAGGTTCTTGCCAATAGTCAAAATGTGCCATAGCATGAATAATACCGGGATGCCGATCTGAAATGACACAAATGGGATACCGATCGCGGGCGACGTGGTATCTAAGTTGCTCCATGAACCAAGACCAACTAGAAATGGTCTCCTCGTCGACTATGGCATAAGCTATTGGAATAATGTGGTTGTTGGCATCCTGTGTCACGGCAACAAGTAGTTTGCCCTTATATTCCCCACGCAAATGAGTGCCGTCAACACATATTACCGGCCGACACATGTGAAATGCATCAATAGTCGGTTCAAAGGTCCAGAACACATACTTAAATGTCTTCACGTGATCCGTACTATCAGAATGGTGTAACCACCTGATAACGGTTCCCTGATTTGACTTCACAAGCGCGTCAAGATATTTTGGTAGTTCGGCAAAATTTGTTTTCCAAGAACCAAAAACAAGTTCAATAGCTTTGTGTCTGCCGTACCAAGCCTTTTTATAAGAAACATCCATCTTCAGCACCTTTTTAACATCACTGACTATGTTCTTTACTTTGTACCCAGGATCGTCTTCGATGCTATGAACAACGTGTCTAGCAATAACCGAAGATGTTAGACTAGCATTGCTATTACTCATCAAATTACCCACACAATTGTGATCGTTCACCCACCTGGTTATTTGCCACAACCCGTGTGTCTTTTTCTTCACTGCTCGGACACACCAGTCGCATGGAGGTTCCGATGAGTCGTTTGCAGTGGTGAGGGTACTTTCAATTGTGGATTTACATAACCCAGGTGTTTCTCTTGCTCTCAACAACCCTAAACTCCCTATTATGAGTGATAGACCACATTCTAATAGCCCTGCTCAGCTGTTGTTTGCTCTCAAATTTCATATGCAGCCTTATATTATTATTTTCCTCACTAAATGTCACAATGCGCTCCAACTCATCGTCATCTGTCAGATACTCGTCCTCATCTATGTTTCCAAGGTTAGAGAAGAATTTCAATTTTCGTGGAGCATAAAAGGGGTTGCTAGATGCATCAAAATGCTGTTGGTTCTCAAGATCCAGGTGGACTCCATGTTGTCCAATTTCGCCATCTGAGTCACTGCCTGACACATCAACCGACTCAGATTCCTCTACATCTTCCACGTCATGCTCCAAATCATCATCTAGGGGGCTGTTGCAATCGCTTGGACCGGCGGTGAAATCCAAGCCATAACTACCAAGATGATCCGGCGATTCTGGATCTCTAAAACTTTGAATCGAGTCTAGGCCCTGAACAGACTCAACTTGCGTCCTTAAGCCTGATGTAAGACGTGGCTCTAACGAGTCCCTACCACAATCTCCATGTGCCCATTGTGATACCGATGCCGTCTCAGGTACTGCTATACTAGAGCTTGGTTGAAATCTTGTTGGATCCATGCATGCATGGACAAGCGACATCATCGGACCTAAATTAGTATTTGGTGAAATGACTGTCCCGGTGACTCGAGGATTTTGAAATTTTTCATCCTTCTCGATATACAGTTCTGCGGTGTATGGAACAATTTCATTCCATACATCGTACATTATCGCAAGAGTTTCATCATCAACCACTGGGGACACGTTATAAGAGCTCCGGCCACAAGGTTGGCGGAGAAATATATTCAACTTGAACAGCCCCCTATCAACCCCCATATATTCATAGATTCTATCCACCAAATCATCATATCCAATCCTGCATCGTAATAAGAATGTACGGTTGCAAATACGAGGCAAGTAACAAATTGACCCATCCTCGTAGTGTATTTTACCTCCCCAATAAAGAGACACGCGCAGAGGTCTTTCTATAGACATACGTGTGGAAAGAATCCCTATTTTGGAATAAAATAAGTTAGCTCATGCGGTAGAAGAGTATACATCAGATAACAATCCCTATCCATTGTTACTGTTTCAAGTGTGATACAAAGGAGAACTCACCTTAATCATTATGCATGTGCGTTTAAAGTACAAGTTAGTAATCGTGTGCTGTAGTCAGCATGTCATTTTCCATGTGTGTTTGTGTCACCCACTGAGTTTTCCAAACACATAATTATGTGGTCCAAATTTATCACTGAATTACCCAAGAAAAATGCAACACAATAGCATAGCCCACATTACGTTTTCATCCAAATAGATACACCAAATAGATAAATAAATACGAGCATTTGTAGTAGTACAAGCAAATGTGATTCCAGTTTGTCTTGTATACAAATTTTTAGTCAACATTTTAAGTTAATGTTCCCTCTAACCGCCTATATATCATCATCATCCAAATGCCAAAAAGTTATTCAACAACTCCTAATTAAATTGAATAGTAGGTAATATCTCCGAGGATGTCTTGTTTTATTTAACGGAAAGAAGCACCCCCCCTTTTGAGTTCATATTGCCGCCAATTTGTCTTATTATACTCTTAAGGCAATCACTAACCAAAACACCCAAAAAGATTTTAAAAAAAAATTTTAGTGTCTCCCCTGTAACTGGGCGAAAACTCCCTGCCAACCAACATAGGCACATCGATTTTCAAACAAGACATCAAATATGGGATAATTTACAGCACTACAAATACGGTAGAATAATTTGACATACAATAAGCATCTTATAGAAGACAAGCAACTGCGAATTTTCCTTAAGCCTGCAATAATAATATAATGTACACAGTAGAATGTGAAACAACAATAATTTTGTATACTCCACTGTCAACCACCATAACATGCAATTAAAAAATATACTATCATACAAGGTCTCACATTACATTCATGAATTCAAATTAAAACGAATCCAAGCAAAGTTTTATAAATACAACTCATGTGCAAGTCTACAATTAAATCTACTTGAAAACTACATGACTTACCCAATGATATGCCGAAGATTCTGAAGATGCACTTGTGCAGACAACTTCCTAGTGGTACCAATCAAAGCCTCTTCAAGTCTCCTGGCTTGTGTCGAAAACTCGAAGTGCACCTATATGAATATGATGGAGATCACACAGAACCAAGATAAGGTACTGGAGCAGAGGATCTGGGGTGCAATGAGGGATTTGTTCAAATGAACCACCTCGTTCCCGTAGATCTTGCTTGTTCCGATATACCTTTTTGGATCTATTCACCCAAATTCAAAGAAAATATGCATTGGTAAACTAGATAACATAGGTATAGAAAACATACTTATAGAAAATAAAAAAATGTCCACGCAAGGGGGTTACTTTGGTGTCCCATTCCGACAAGGGAGATGTTCAAGCATTTTAAATGCGACCCCCATATATTCGCATTTCTCAGTTTATGCTCCCTACCAATTCCTTCACACATATTAACAACTTAAGAGTGTATATTTATCTCATTATTTGTTCTTACTTTGTAAAACCCTTTGTTTCCTTTCTGTTGATGCCAAGGACTAAATCATGATGATTGTCTTTTCTTGTTTTTATCATTTTTTCAACTTTTCTATAAAATGCAGATGAACGCCCAACATTTAATCCAACCATAATGTTTTCACAAAAAATAAAATACCAAAAATCCCAACAAAGGTGAGTCCTCCCATTCACCTTTTCTTTTTTAAAAAAGAATTGTGGATGAGTTGTTCTTTGACCAAAAATGGGGTTTGTTTTTAAGGACTGTCAAGTTAAAACTAAATAATATCCTCCATGACGAAAAATTTGAACGCTAAAATTCCTTATATGAAAGCTTGGTATGATAAAAGAAGAGCTATTGAGCTTGTTTATGGCGTTTCGGTTACCGATTTAGTTGAATTACTCAAGTATGTGGAAGCATTTGGCCAATTAAGTAATATTAGTCTATACTTAAAACACCCTTGTCGCATGGATTTTTTTAAATTCGTCATCAAATTGCAAATTTGTCAAACACAATTTACACAAAGGCCTCCGGCTGCTTATTGTTTCTATACGTGAAAAGCATCATAGAGAATCCAATGGCCAATAGAAGTATTAGAATTGCAAAGATCAGACTGGCCGGACTGGTGCAAAAGTTGTATCTTGACATATTAAAAAATTCTGTAGTATGAAATTGGAACCCCCTCACTTTTGATGCCCACTAATTTAACTATGGCTTGAATCTGATATATATAGCATGATTTTCATATCGACAATTGGCAAGTAATGGTTATAGTCAGTCCATTAAAAAGAAAATAAACTGCACGACAGAAACCGCATATGTATAAACATTTTGTCTTATACACAAAAAGCTTTGGATAAAGAAAGAAAAGAACCTTCCTGTACAGAAAATCAAATCATGTTTCATCATACAATCTTTGTGTCACTGCACTTTGGTTAATAAAGTTTTCTAATTATAGGATTAAGTGTTTACCTATAACAGCCAAAGATTGAAAGACCGGCAACTATGACAAATGGTAGCCAGAGATTATTATTGAACGAGTCATGCTTATTAAATCTATGTTACCCTGTTATACTAACCTAGCAAGACAAACAAGAAGATGTGTTCAACAACTGGAAAACATGTTTTGGAAGATTCTGTCAAATTCTCACTTCACTTCACCAAGTAAGCAATCGTGTCAAAATATCGTCCCAATGAACCAAATGAAAGTACTTGAAGCAAGGGAAACTTTCTACATGCTTCAATATCAGATTATAATACAACTCCACAATGGCATGGTTCAATTACTGAATTAAGTGACAGAAGGGACCATTAGATAGGCTGTCGAACTTCAAGACCGAGGGCTTTTTTTTTTTACTTTACTCCAGTTTTCAGATAATACCAAAACAAAAAGGCTTTTACTTAGACCTTTGGTGGAATTTAGCAGTGAAGTACTGGAATTTAGCTGTTTAGTACCAACACCTAAATAGATCCGAGGCCGTATCTGTTCATAAAGTCCTCGGATCCGACATGGCTCGGATCAACTATAACAGAAGTTTATCCGCGGTCTCGGATCCAACAGGAACTTGTAGGATCCGAGCTCGGATCCCCGGTTTTAATTTTTGGCGTTTCAAACGATCCGAGGTCGGATCCTTCTGGGTTTTATAGATTCGAGCTCGGATCATACGCCCAAAAATTACAGCAGTACATATTCATTATACAGAGGGCCGAGGGGACGGAAGGGCAACCAAAAGCCAGTAATCAACAACGACATAACTTAAACAAAAAAAGGAACAAGGATAAACAAACCTGGTATAATCTGAGCTGGGTAGCAGCTGAGAAATGCAGCGGCGGCGAAGAGTGTGGTGAAGCGGCGAAGATGAAACGAAAATAGACGGACAAAGGGACAACCAAAACCCAGCTGCGATGAATTGATGGATAGCAGCTGAGAAATGAGATTCGAAATTGAGTTGAAGCGGGAAACCGAAGCGTGTCTTGGAGGCTGAAGCCGGTTGAACTGATGCTTCAACAGGTGAAGCTTGAGTTTAGACAATTGCGGTCAGAATCCAATTTTCGGTCAAAAAACCTTGAGTACTTCGCATTTCTTAAATGCGAGGAAACAAGCTCGCATTTTGTATATGCGAGCTCTTGAGCTCTCAACTGAAGAACCGTAGCTTGTTTTTCTTTTTTTTTAAAAGCACCTACCTCGCATTTGTGAATGCGAGGCACCTGAACTCGCATTTCACAAATGCGAAGATCACATTTGTGGAAGCTGCTTCACTAATCAT